ATATACATATTCTTTTGATATTTAGGTTAACCGCACCGTTAGCCGCGGTTTAGCCAGGTCGGAAGTAGAAATACATTTGACAAGAAGGCTGTCAACCAAGTTAACCGCTCGATTAGAGTGCCCGATTAGCCGGGCACTCTAAGCTTTCGAAAAAATTTTAAAAAGAAATGCGCCTAACGGGAATCAACTCCCAGACTAACGCGCTCAGGAATAAGATTCGAAGTACGACGCTTTAATCAATGAAACTACCAGGCCCACATTTGCTAGTTAATGAGTGATGAAATTATCTACAAGATATTTTAAAGATTCGGTTAAAGCTTTGAAATTATAAGAAGTTCTTCCAAAATATTTCTTTCCTAACAAAAAGAAACCTTGTCAGGTCAGCCTCTTATGGGGGCTAGAAAATAGGCCTAAACAGGGTTTTGAGTATAATACTTGATTCCTTCTCCTTTGGAGATACTGTAGAAGTTTCACAAAAGATAGTGAGCTGTCCTGATACTTGATTGGAAAAAGGATTTTTTTTTGACGAGTAAGTACATAATATGTTTGAACGAAAGAGAGAATTACTATCAAATCACCGACTATTCCGCGAATGTCTCTTCAACTGACTTTTCTGTGTTTTTTCTTTGATTTCAAGAAAAACTCATATGTAATTCGTAATCTCTGGTAAAAACTGAATCGGAATTATTATTGAATGGAAATTATCAGGTGTACACAACTCAGTCGCTGCTATCTTGATTGTATGTCTTAAATAACTACGGTGATTTCTTACGAGACACGACTATTACACGAACTGGCTCTCCCGCGAACAGGATCCAGACTCTTTAGCCACCTTTTTTCAATCGATTTTAAGCAAATAAACAAAACAACAGGTTTTACTGAACGTAGCTGTTAAAAACCTTTTAAAATACTTTCAACTTAAAATACTGATATATCAGATAAATACCTAAAACACGGAAACACTATGTGAAGACAATATCTCTTACGTGAAACTACTTTTTGAACTCACTCTTAGACTGCTCTCCCCCCGGCCTCCGCACGTTGTCAGAAATACCGAAAAATTCGCGAAAGAGTCGAGGTCCTGTTCGCAGAATACCCGCCAAAACGTACTTCTAATAGGGGATGGACTTCAAGTTCGTAAGGGTTACTATTAGACTACTAACGGACCACAATAGAAGATCACCCTATAAAAGTCGACTTGCGGGACAAGGACTATGGGGATGAGAACGTATATTTCGCCTAATTATAAGTCCTAGAGTTGATTGTATACGTGCGTTAAGATAGTAGTATCACTTTTTTATTCGACTACTCTTTATCACAAACTACAAAAAACTAACTATAACAAAAGAAAAACACGTAATATATACATTTACAACTACATCATAAAAGATAAGAACTGCAAAAGAACAAAGCACGAAAAAAACAAAAACAGACAACGAACAGAACGAAACAAAGGAGAGCAGTCCTACCCAAAGATGTACATACTAGAAAGAAAGGTTGTGACAAAGTGTCGTCACATATCTCCCCACCGAGATCCGAGTGCCCTCACGCGGATACTGTGGAGCAGGAGTAAAAAACAAAAAATTTAAAAGGAACCAGCTACAGCGCAAGAGTAAGGTGCGATACAAAAAGATGAAGAGAAGAGCAAACCACAAAAAAGACCAGACCAATGATAAAGACAAGAAAAAGGGAGAAACCCAGAGGAAAAATTAATCATAATAACGGGAACAACAAATACGGGAAAATAAAGCCAACGATAATAAAAAATCAGTAGACAAACATACGCGGGAGAATAGAATGAATGTTTAATCGAGTGGGACGAGTTCGGGCGTAGGGCACGATGACCGATGAGGTGTAGTGGCTGCGGAGATGCAAGGGTTTGGTGGTGGAGTGTGCGACGTAGTATGAAGATGGAGGATGCGATGGTGAACCGTCATGCAGTTGGCTGTGAGGTCGAGGAGAAGATCGTATGAACGTTGAATGCGTGACGAAGAATACTGCTGCGGGGAAAACGATGGTGCTAAATATATGTCCGTAACGCCTTGATGTAGATGCAGAACGGATTGAGCGAGATGTGCGATGATGGTAGCAAGAAACGAAACAGTAACTAGAAGTTCGTCGACGTCTTCGGAAACGGCTGGAGTGGTGACGAGTGGTGATGGAGGCGTGAAAGTGAATACAGGCACTGATGGCGTGGATAAAGGTGAAGATGGCATGATGTGAGATGAATGTGTTCGTAAAATGACGTAGAAGATATTGAGTAGCGAGCGATGGAAAGATAATGACGATGGGTGAATAATAAAGTGAGAAATGATCGGGTACACAGTGGATGAATAGAGAAAGAGAAACAAGAAAAGAAAATGTGATGACCTTAGAGGAACTGAGGTTAAATAACCTTGAAAAACTGATCATTGTATGTGAATGTGGATGATAAGAGAAGAAATGATGAGAAATGTCATCGTTTTGTAAAGGAAAAATGGAAAGCTGAAAACTGTACCTAAAGTTTAGGCAGAAAGATAATAGGCAAAGTTAGAGAAAAGCATATACCTTTTAAACTTCCATGTAATGAGGATTTACCCAATTCTTCCCTTGAAAATAATGAGCCTCAAAGGAATAAAATAAAATGACGAAAACCTTTTTCTGTTATTTTCAGTTCATTATCAGTAGCTTGTCCCGCAAGCTTAAATTTCGTTTGAGAAGCTTGGAACGTTTGTTTGCTAATCAGTTTTTCCTGCAAGGATAACAATAGAACGCAGTAACGATACGATGTGCTGAATCACAAGATGAAAAAAAATTACCAAGCTTATATGAGAATCTGTCGAAATACCAATTGATAAATCAACCAATATTTTACTGTCCGATTTTTTCAACTTTTGTATCTAACCCCAGAGTCGCTACCATAAACTAACGTAGAATTCTACAGAATTCTATACATTTCCGCTTGTCTCCCACTCCGCTAATATATTGTCTTCTGAAATGGTACAAAGGTTATTAAAAGGTGAAATGATTGTAACGATCAGTCAACTTACGTTAATGGCAGCAGACGTTGATATTACGAATAGACTGGTTTTCATAATACACTGAATATCAATCCAAGACGCTGTTTGGCTAGCCAAGCGCCTAGTTTCATGGCTTTCTTTTTGATGAATCTTATGCATGATTCAAACGTGTATGCCGAAGTAAACGCTAGTCCTCCATGAACTTCCACTTGTTTTGGCACATGAAGATGTGCATATAAAGAAAATAATTCGATTGACAAATCATAGACCAGCAGCGCTGGCAGAATACCTACATTTAAGACATCCTACAGAATGCTATAGAATTCTACATTTTCCGTATGAATTCTACAACAACTTTTTCACAGCTGAAACATGATAAGCCCGACTTATTCTCAAAACAGAAATCTAGGAAATGTATAGAATTCTACGTTAGTACAGTCATAGCTGCTCACCTAGAATTCTATACATTTCCGCTTGACTCAAACTTGGTCAATCAAAAGTAAATCTATCCCAACGTAGAATTCTATAGAATTCTCCCTTACCACACATATACAATAGATTAGCCGAGTGCGAGACAAGCGGAAATGTATAGCATTCTATAGAATTCTGCGTCGGCAAACATATACTTTTTATTCACCAAGTTTCAGTCAAGCGGAAATGTATAGAATTCTATAAAATTCTACGTTAGCACAGACATAGTTGATCACCTAGAATTCTACAGAATTCTATACATTTCCGCTTGACTCAAACATGGTCAATAAAAGGTGAATCTATATTAACGTAGAATTCTATAGCATTCTACCTCACTACACATATAGAATATATTAGCCAAGTGGGAGACAAGCGGAAATGTATAGAATTCTAGATGAGGAACTATGTCTGCACTAACGTAGAATTCTATAGAATTCTATACATTTCCGCTTGACTCAAACTCGGTTAATAGAAAGTGAATCTACGCTAACGTAGAACTCTATAGAATTCTATACATTTCCGCTTGACTCAAACTCGGTTAATAGAAAATGAATCTACGCTAACGTAGAACTCTATAGAATTCCACCTTACTACATATACACAATATATTAGCCGAGTGGGAGACAAGCGGAAATGTATCGAATTCTATAGAATTCTACGTTAGTGCAGACATAGTTTCTCACCTAGAATTCTATACATTTTCGCTTGTGACTCAAACTCGGTTAATAGAAAGTGAATGTACGCTAACGTAGAATTCTACCTCACTACACATGCACAATATATTAGCCGAGTGGGAGACAAGCGGAAATGTATAGAATTCTAGGTGAGGAACTATATCTGCACTAACGCAGAATTCTATACATTTCCGCTTGACTCAAACTTGGTCAATATATTGTATATCTATGCTATGTTCAGATATAGTTCCTCACCTAGAATTCTACATTACCTTTGTACGCACAACTGGACGCATTTGCGAGACTATCACTGAAAAAGTGTAATATATTGATGTGGGCTTGCTGTATTCTCATTAGCAATACAAGATAATACACAAATGTATGAATTTCCGACGTGCAACTTCGAATTTATTCTCATCCACGAAAACTTGTAGTATCACCCTTTTATTCGACTACTCTTTATCACAAACTACAAAAAACTAACTATAACAAAAGAAAAACACGTAATATATACATTTACAACTGCATCATAAAAGATAAGAACTGCAAAAGAACAAAGCACGAAAAAAACAAAAACAGACAACGAACAGAACGAAACAAAGGAGAGCAGTCCTACCCAAAGATGTACATACTAGAAAGAAAGGTTGTGACAAAGTATCGTCACATATCTCCCCACCGAGATCCGAGTGCCCTCACGCGGATACTGTGGAGCAGTGAAGTCCGCATAAGAACGGTAATCGGCTCACTGACAATAAGCCCTCTAATCGGTCTCAACCTCATCAGAAACACATCCGATTATCATATTCGATGATTTCGACCCTTCCGAACGCTTTCAGTCGAATATACCCGACAGAATCTACTTGAATTCTTCGGTTGAATCAGGTGCATGTAATAGTTTCATAGCCAGAGAATAAAGGACGAAGTGAGAAGCGGGTAATGGAGGTAGATAAGCAACACATACTGGCACGTCCACATGGAAGACAAATAAACGAGCATATTTTGTCTTCTGTTGATCAACGGTTGTAATTGGATCAAGATAAATCACTCGCATGTTATGTGGAATACGTATTCGTTGTAACATGCTATCTATATCTTGAATAGCTTGCGTATTTATTGCCTTGCACCAGCGTTTTATCAATTGTGACATGCCCGAGGCTTACCAAATGCATGTAATGGAACACAATATGAGATGGGTATTCAAAAACATCCATTAATGACGAATATCCTTTCACACCATCAACAGTGGTTGCTTTGCTACCGTTAGATTTCGTTCTAAATATGCAAATGAAGTTTTTAATAAAATAAGCAGATACATGTGTTCTTGGTAGATGAAAGGAAAGCTAGATATTATCTATAAACACAAACAATTGTTAGATAAACCAGTAACTTACATAGCTTCTTGCGCCGCTTTCAGATAACCATCATGAGTTCGAGATCTGTAATCATTACCGGCATAAGAGTACAATACTGTTTTGTAAATATTACTCCAAACACCTAAATGAACGATAAAAATGTATAACGAGAACTCACACGTACTGGTTCAGAACAAAACGATACTTGACGACGCTACAGAGTATATATATACTGAGCTGTTCACCTTTTGTGCAACAGCATGTGCACGCTGAATAACCGTTGAAATTGATTGTATGACAGAATAAGGCTTTGGCTGGCAAATCTGATAAGAAAAATTGTGTTGATAAACAAATATTGTACTCTTGATCACCAATGAATATAGAAGTTCCATGTCGCATTAAATCTTTCAAATCTTTCATGGTTTCTTCCAAAAATACGTTCACGTTTGGTTTCTGTTTGGCTGACCATAGTGCCAAAACAACAATATTTGTTTGGTATTCTCGTACTGGTGGTGGCAACTCAACAATGGAGGCAAAGCACGACCAAAGCGATACTCTTGTTGTTTGAATTCACGGAGCACCATCCGAATGAACAATCAAGGTCACCGGATTCCTTTTCTTAGCACTCATTGTTTGATAATGTACGCCAAAGCAAATATCTTGCTTTGGAAACAGCGTCGGTTCATTGAGCAGAGTTGAATTTCGGCAAAGTATTGATTATATTCTGCAATATACAAATATAACGTGAGCCTGCGAACAGAAGTCAACTTTCTAAACACTTAGATAAAGAGGATTAATAGGATGCTGTTAGTTGTAGAGTTGTTCAATAATCCTGTGATCATTCGTTTCTCGCTTCCTTATTATTGCCGGGTACACTAACTACCTAAAATGCGAGAACATATTTTGATTTAACGAAGAAAGTTAAATTCTTGACGTTGACGATTATTTCAAATACCAGACAAAATAATATGATCAGCTTCGAAATATCCACATGATGCCGCTCATGCACGGCGTACTTCCTTTTAGGTCCGCCCACCATTACATGACATAATAGCCGAAAAAATTTCTACTCGGTTGTATTCATCAAAAAATATGTATAATAAATGGATAACCTACTGTGAACGAACATCAAGATGTGCGATTTCGACTGTATCGTTGCTTTTCAATGTTCTATTTGCACATTCGCATTGTTTATTCGGGCATGTTCTTGAACCATATCTTGTTTTTGCACATGGTTGATTGCATTTTGAACAAAGAAATGTTGTGATTGACATACACGTTCTTGCATACACTTTCATGATACCTTTCCAGGTTATCGGAAGTTTGTTCGGTTCTGGCAACAGAGATTTTATGATTTTTAAACGTTTTCATTGGATCTGTAGAAAGATGACGTCAACCTGTTGCATGATAACAGAGAATTCCAACAGAATTTTGTTGGAATTCTCTGTTATCGTGCAATCGCTGGCAAGGTTTTCAAAAAATTGCCTTTTATCCTTGAAATTAGAAATAACGCGTTTTTTACAATGTTTCACTTTAAACACATATGTCATTGGAAGATTTTTCAAACTTTTTAAAGTTTATTAAACGGCCAAAGATTGTCTACAAAATAACTCTGCAACGACGTTGATCGGACATTTCAATAAAATACAATGAATTACTTTATAATATCATCGAGATCGAAATCTTAATTAAATTTAATTATTAATTATTAATTATTTAATGATTCCTAAATTGTGCAGTTCAGATATGATAAGGAGGATCAGTTTAGGTCAGCCCACACTATGTCAAAATATGGAGGGTGTATGGACACCGCTTAAAATTCCTTTTTTATATTATCTCTTATACATAGAATAAAGAAAAATCTTAGTAATTATTAATAAACAGAAGCCGTTAGGCTAAATAAAAAATGAACCTATATCAAAGCGTTTAGTTTTTTTCGGATTTCTTTTCAGCAAAATTTTTATTCAGCAGAAAAATGTCAAGAAAACGTTTCTACTAAACTATCAATGTAAATACTATTGATGTTAAAATACGCAATAATACATATTATAATCTTAGTTTTTACAGTCCACATCGTGTAAGAATAATCTTGTAGAAAAGTACAAAACTAGTTTCCCTTTGTCAATGCTTAATTAAGTATCTCTGATGAGGGAACCGATTCAACTATCAAAGCCTTTATTCAATGGGATCTAGTGAATTATATCCACTATGCTGATTCCTAACATGACCATGGCAGTTGTCTGTAGGTCTCCAGAGATCCGCTTTTGGAAAATCGTTTTAGAATTTACAAAAAAGTCCTAAGTGTACGTTCATTGTCAGCTCAAAGAAACGCTCTGATTCCGAAATAAGAAATTAATTTAGGGTTTTTCTTGTGAAGTCTATGACTTTGCAAAGAAAGGCCGTGTAGAGCTGGAAGATGTCTCATTTTTAATCAGGAATGTGCGGGCTACAATCAAGCCTCATTAAGAAAGGTTTTGATTATTTTTTACAGTTTCCGAAAAACTGATTTTCCAAAGCCGGAGCCCTGGAGATCTATAGGCAACTGTCATGATCATATTCAGAATCGGTATAGTTGATAACCATAATCCACTAGGTCTCATTGAATAAATGATTTATTTAATGATAAATTGATTTCTTCGCCTTGATACAAGAAACGAAACGGGCGTGGTGCAGAATTTGCATTTGCCGCAAACTGAAAATGACAGAAAATAGAAAATTTCTCTAAAACACAGGAGTCAAATCAGATCATCAGAAAATATGCGCGTTACTTTTCTAAAACCCATCGTAAAGACTCCTTAACATTGTGGAAAATGTAGGAAAGTAGGAAAGCAGGAAAGTAGGAGAGCAGGAAAGCAGACAAATCAAGACAATAGAAATGGTGTTAGTCACCCCGTAATTCTCGCAAGTGAGAGAGAAAGCCAACCTCTCTGCCCCCCTCCACCCGCACTCCTCTTAGGACAACCATACGAGTAGATGTAACTACCTATCTTCTACCTTCTACAGTCGTAACGACTTCAAAAATCGGCTGGTTTTTACTTTCATGCTTTCCTACTTTTCTTCTCTCCTATTCCTGCTTCCTACGACTGTAGAAGGTGGAAGATAGGTAGCTACACCTACTCGTCTGGTTGTGCTAAGAGGAGTGCGGGTTGAGGGGGGCAGGGAGGTTGACAGTGAGTAACCTAACAACATTTAGGTCTGCCCCGTTAGGCTTCCGATACCCGAAGAAGATTTACTTACTGTCGCAACTAACGTACACATATCGGCGATTCTTCACTGGTAATGAGATTTTACGTAGAGACCGTTGGCTTTCTCTCTCACTTGCGAGAATTACGGGGTGATTAACACCATTTCTATTGTCTTGATTTGTCTGCTTTCCTACTTTTCTTCTTTCCTACTTTGCTGCTTTCCTTCTTTTCTACTTTCCTTCTTTCCAGCTTTCCTGCTTCCTTAATTGTTTTTCTACTTTGTAGTTTTATCACTTAAGGTTTTTTAGTTTGCGGCAAATTGTGCAAATTCTCTTAGAGAACAATTTGCCGCAAACGCAAATTCTGCATCCTGTGACGAAACGAGGCTATTCGACTTTCTCTGTTCGGAGGTAACAGAAAAACCATTTTGCTTCAACATAAACCAGATCTAAAATCATAATATGTGATTCGGACCAAATCATACAAATTTTTCTCAGTGCCTCAAAACTGGGGTTAGAAAATAATGATTTTGGGCAAACTCGCTAAAAGAAAAAAATTCCCCTACGATCGCTTAAGCCTATGAAGAGTCTTAAACATAGCCAGCTGATAGAGGTTTTCGAGAACTAGAAAATGGCCATTTTTTCGTTTTTTAATAAGAAATGTTTAATATGTTTTGTGTAGAGAAATGAATGCTGTTTCTTTCAAAAAAAGATTGAGACTTATCGATCAATCTTGACCGAGATATTGAGAAAATACTGAATGAGACAGGACTTCTGAGCCATCCTTTATATAATTTTTAACACTCACTTTTTATTAGAGCATACAGAAGTTTTCAAAGTCCATTCGACTATTCACTCAACCTATCGGACTCGGACTGGACTGGACTAGAAATTTTGAGTGTTTTTGGGAGTCTATACGGAGCTCTGACACCTAGTATAATGCACACGTCAGCGAGTGTTTCTCATATCTACGATGACTGATTCACCAGTCGAGTAAAATGAGTGTAGCAAACCGAATGTGAAGATGTTTTCTTAAATAACATACAGTATATTGCAAAGGAGAAATTCTCTACCTATGAAGCCGAAAGCGAAGCTCGAGAAGAAGTTTAAAAACTGTGGATACTGAAGTGTCCCATTTAATATGACTCACCTGTTACTTTAATTCCATCAAAATAACAGTGAAAGTTCATATTATTTTTGTTATTATATTTATGCAAAAATAGCTGTATGCTTGAATGAATTGCAAAGCTAGTACAATCCTTCACCTGTAACGTAATGCTTCTTATCTTTTTGCGTTCCTTCCATATATCTGTACTGTATGAGTATCATTTAGTTTATTTTTTTTTAACGAAAGGACGAAACAAAGAAAGCGTCAAATAAAAGGTAAGTAAAAAGTTTTAAACTACCATGTCTAAGTTACGCACCACCACTCTTTCAGCTGGTTTTCCACAATTCATCAGCCAGACATTCCGTTTTTTCAACAAATTGCAAATTTAGTCACGAGACTTGAGGTCATAAAATAAATCTCCGCTCAAATACCAAAATTTCAACGATTTTTAGAAATTACAAGTCATAGCGGCAGTTAATCGGTACAGCTACGAATTCTTAAGA